AAGGGAGGATACGGGGGTGCCGGAGTCAACCAAAAATAATTGTTTAAAGACCAGAAACACAAACACAGCGAAACAAAGAAGGGGAACGAAAGTAGTAGTCTATGGGAAAAAGGACGAATAAGGCCATGTGCCCACCAGAACAGAAACGACCAGACTTTTCGTCGGGAGGAGACAACTCGGTCTGTTCGTGTCCAGTGTTCGTGTCCACCAACGCGTGAATAACTCTGGCGACACAGCGTCGTTTCTCGGTATCGGGCTATAGTCAAAACGTTAATGAATGCAAGATGAGAATAAGAAGTGAATACATTTTTAAAAAAGAATAAGTAAAATTGTTAAAATGCAATTAAGTTAAACTTTGCTAATTTTGAGGAGCTGAATACAAATGACAATAGACTTTTCATCAGAACCGAAATTTGATATTTTAAATTTAATCTCTGGCTGGGCCTATGGCAGATGAGCCACCACAAGGCCTGAATAAAATACCTCGTGCAGCGTTTAAACCGGCCTATCTGTTTTCGGGAGGAGTCATGTCGTTTTGGTGGGCACATGTAAACAGAACTTTCACTGATTGCTAAGGTAAAAATCGATGCACCATTCCAAATACCAGTCTTCCGAGAAACTTTTGATTGGTTGGTTTCTGGTTTGGTGGACACGCAGGCTAAGATCGCTTGGTCTGAAAAGCGAACCTAACTATAAAGATGCGAAGATCAAAAAGAAAAAAACAAACAAACCCAACAACATATTATGACTCAAGAGAGGCAGGTAAAACAATACTGGTACAACACTGGGGTGGTTTAATGTCGAGAAAACTGACTTACGCTATACATTAACTTTCTTCATGGTACAGATTAACTCTGCAAAGGCAGTTACGAACGACCGTTTACTTTCAACTAAGTTACGACAAATATGACCCCGGTTTTTCAGTGGCTCACCTTATGCAAACGGAGACAACAGTAAGCTTCAGCAGAAACTGAAACGTCGTCCTTTATATATCATTATAGGCTGCTTCTGCGTGTTTACGTCGAGTGCATGGACATGATTCAGCTGACCACCAAAAACAAGCCTTGTTAAGTCCACTTGGCTCAAAGCCCGTAAAGCTTTTACACGGGTCGTGATCCCTCTTTCCTTATCTATGAAATCAGTGCAAGAAAGACATATTTACTTTGTCATGACGTCAAACAGAGAACGTCTAACAGCCCTTAGCACTTTCACATCCCGAGAAACGAGTGTCAAGTCTCGCAATTCTCGGGATAATGTTCCATTCAAAATACAGGAGTAAAAAAAAAATTCATATAAATGTAAATAGAGGCTCAACATTTTTTAATGGTCTTAGTCTTTTCTGAACAGTGAATAACACGATAATGGTTTTAAGCCACAAACACGAATTATTCTAACGTTAATTTCGGAGCTTCTGCCACTTAAATGTCCTTACAGTGTTGAGATGGGAAACATCTAAACAATGACCTGTCGTATAATTCCCTGTGGTGATCAATTCCTCTTGGGAGACCTGTGCCACTGCACGGACAGGGGTTTTAAGACTAAAGACGTAATCTGGCCTGATATGACTGTGGGTGGTTGGTGGAGGGTGCCACTGGTAGGTAATATTTCTTTTGTTTCCTTCTGTTGTTCCTGTCTATCTAGGTTGCTTCTTCTCTGCTCTATTATGACCGTTATTGTGTCGCTGTGCTTCTCTTTACTCAAACTGAAATCCAAAAACCCTACTATGGCTTTGCTCATGTCAGCTTGTTTTTGTTGTAAGCAATGTTTACCTAAGCTATAGCATCATACCTTGTTAAACGTTTAACTGTGATAAAGACACGCTGTTTATGACTTGAGAGTGTGGCTGCACTGCCATTCTGATCCTCTATGAAAAGATAAGTCTTTTTATAGACTCGTGCACTTTTTAGCATGACACCCATCACTCCTGTCGTTTTCTGCCTATCGCAGATAATCCAGTACGTTTGTGATACTGAAGAGACCCTTCTGGCACACCAAGGACAGTTTCAGACAGTAAACAACACTAAAATGAAGTAGATGAAACTAACAACTCCATGGCGCACACCAACCACCCTCACAGATACCTGTAACCGTCACCCTACTGAAACTGAAGTCAAAACTTTGTTGATAAAGAATATAAAGTAAGAGAAAAATAACAAAACTTTAGCAAAATCGTTTTTGTGAAGTTAACACTCCTCGTTTATTGCATGGCGGAAGTCACGAAACAAAACAGGATTTCCTTCTAGCGAACAAAATAAAACGTTTGATTAATTTAGGATCTTTTATACAGAATCTAATAGGTATATATTCTATTTGCAGATAATCTCACTGCTGAGAAGAGCGTTGACAGCTGACGATAGTGACATTACATTCCATGGCTTCACGGATGTTGAGCAGGGATGGGAACGAGGTCAAAAAGCAAAGTCTCCCCGTTTTCTGGCACATAACTGGACACGCCTGAAATAGTAAAGATTGGAGTCAAACTGATTTGCTCTTTTGTGTAACCTGGTGATGAAGTTCTGTTACTGGCTGTCAGAAGAAAGGTCCCAGTTTTTGGCTGTGTACAAAATCTAGTCTTTTGAGTCTTTACGCTTTTCCTTTCTCGTGAGTATTAGTATCAATAATATTAAGTGTTTTAAAACGTGGGTCATGGTATAAAAACAACATTTCGATGCTTGGATTAGTGTTCACAGCACCTTCATTTTAAAAAAAGTAGAATTTCGGCATATTGTCCAGATCATGTAGCGGATATTTTTCTTTTCTTTTTTTTTTTTTAAAAAGAAGTTTAGATCTGTGTTTATAAAAAACACTGCAATAACCTTTGATAATTGTCTCCAAAGAATGATGGTAGGTTTAACTCAACATCAGAGAAATCGAGTCATCAGCATGCTCCGCGCTTTTCTACTGTTGCCAGGTGATTCGACGCCAACAGAAAACAAAAACAAAAACAGACTTCCCTGGCAATAGTAGAAAAGCGCGTAGCACGCTGATGACTTGCTTTCTATGATGTTGAATAAAACTTACTCTCTTCTTTCGGTGACATTGATCTAATCATGTTATTGTGGTTTTTGATAAACGCAGACCTAAATTTCATTTATTAAAAAACCCAACAAAGAATATAAAAAAATCTGTCACGTGGTCGGAAAATATGCCAATTAAAAAAAAAAATTAACGTTTTAGCAGTGAACACTAATTGAGTGACCAAACTGTTATTTTTATAACATAGCCTACATTGTAGACTACTTAGTATTACTCACGTGAAAGGTAAAAAAGAAAGGCAAAAGCTCAAAAGACTAGATTGTATACAAAAAGAAAGCGATAACTTTTTATGATTTCCGGTGTATTACATTTTTATAATATTAGGCCTATACCGCACCTAGACAAATCTGTCTTTAGACAGACTAAAGCCCGTGTTTAAGGGAGGTGTGAACCACAGAGTAATACGAACCCTTCCGCATTACTTAGACACAACATTTTAGTCGTGAAAAGTTGTGACCGGCCACAAACCGAGTACGACAAGTCTGACTAAAGACTGGTTTGAACCAGTAAAAGAGATTCGAGCAGTTTTTAGTTTAATAGAAACTTTTTAAAAAGGCTTCACGTTTAGCCAACTAGGGTACATCATCGTCGTTCTAGCGTTTTTGTTATTAGTATTTGTATTACCTGTATGACTATTATTATAGACTACATGTAAAGAAATATTACAAATGGAGTCTGCTTGAACCGAAGACACTTAATCCGACAAAAGTGATAAACCTAAAGAAAGTAAATCCCCGATTTCGTATTGTTCTAATTCTTTTTTAACAACCTTTCAAGACCAAAAACCCGAATAGACGGAAGAAAATCCGGCAGTCCCGCAGGATTCGTTTTAAGCAGACTCCACTGTATCTTATTTCTATTATTAAAGCTATCATTAGTTTCGAATGACACGTATCCAACTAAGTTTATCGATCGGAATTATTCCGATGACTAAAATGATACAAGTACATGTATAAGTATTAGACCACTGTTCGGATCTCACCGCACTGTAGATCTGCGCCCGTCGGCAGACTGGAGATTTTCCAGAATGCAGAGAAATTACTGCCACTGAGGCCGTTGATGCTTTCGATGAAGTAGCCAAGGTTTTTGAAGTAAATGGCTGTGAACCTGGAAGGCAAATTGACGAGGAAATTATGTTTCATACATTTTTTTCAGAATTTGTGACATTCTTATTCTTTTCTATTTATGTTTCTGTGTCGGCGGTGGTCAAGTGGTAAGGCTGTTGGGCTTGCAACCAAAAGGTCGTAGGTTCAAATGCCATCAGAGGCCCGACGTTGTGTACTTCGGAAAGGCACTTTTAAACTTTATACGAAAGATTCTACACTTAACCCAGGTGGGAATGAGTACCTGGCTATAAACAGTGACAGATCCTACCAGTTTGTTAGTGTTTGAGCGCTTAACCGGCTACTTGTATTGATTACTTTACGGGAAGTTGAGAATGTTTCTGAACGTTCTAGGATCTGCTGCAAAGCACGTAGAGAATGCTGCTGAGCATGCAATATCCACTATATAAACGGTACTATTATTATTATGATTCAAGTACTTATTACTATAATACTTGTTGCTGCTGCAGCTGCTACTACTACTCTTTCTTCTTTTTCATCACTATCATTATCATCATCATTATCATTATAAATAACACTATCATTGTTACTACTACTACTACTACTACTACTACTACTACTACTACTACTACTACTACTA